TCAGGCTCTTGTACAACATTTTATAAAAAATAATAGTGAATGTAGAAACTGACTACTGATTGCTTAAAAATAAAAATAAATGGGATAGGGGCATAACAATAAATGGGCCTCAGCTCCCTCTAAGTCCCCTGACCCTAACATTACACCCCTGCCCAGGTCACTAATTTTTCAGAATAAGCAAAATTCAAATACCAGTTAAGCATTAATAAGATCTTAATTCTATAAATATGTAGCAATTACAGAGCAAGTTAAGGTGTGATTTTCCTGTCTCAGCATAGCTCAAATTTGATAAGAATAACTACATTTTTCACCACACAATAACAGCAAATTAAATGGGTTATCTCTGAGAATATTGGATGGTAAAAATGATTTACAAATTTTCACCCGTTGGAAAAATACTGCTCTTCTAGAACTCATAACATTAAAAACTAATAGACTAAACCACATGTGATTATTATCAAACCCAATTTTGTTATTAAGCCCAGAGTGCATGGAAACCTTTCCTTTTTGTTTCATCAGTGATCAATAGTTCATTGATAAATGATTTTTTTGATGAACAATGCAAGCTTTCCTAGGCCATGTTTATTTAAGGTTTTGTTTCACCAAATGAAAATACTGAATGTCTTGAAAATTATACAAAGGACATAGACTTGAAGAATACTGTATCTAATGCTGGCTCATAAAGCAATGCCTTAGCCATTTTTCAAAAATTTGTTATTCTTTGATTGTCAAGGGTGGACAATATAAACTCAAATATATTTCTTGCTGAACAGGGCTGATTATTTGAAGCTAATAAAATATTTAATCAACTATTATTTGAAGGGCTACTGGCCTTTTATTCTACATATTACACTTATTCCATACTTATGTCTTGAGAAAATAATGTAGCAGTTGTCAGACAACCTTTTTAACTCTAGCTATAAATTTTTTGCAACAAGATACCATAATATATTAGTTTCTAAAAAAATAGAGGAAGATTTGCCAAAACACCATTAGGAAACTTCTATGGAGCACACAGGTATCACTTAGTGTATGATATAAATGTTGCTCAGTTTTACAATTACATTACATCATAGAACAGTTTGGAAATGTACCCCTCGCAATTAAAAGTTAAGCCACCATGAGTATCTTTACTGGAGAAATTCAAGCTCCTTAATATTGCAAAATCAATGACACATAATGTGCATGAACAAGCTTATAAGGCAGATATTCTGATGTCACTTGCTTACCATGACACAACAGAGCTTCTTAATAAGGCATAATGAAGGGAGTAATGTTACCAATTCTATTCTCAACATTTATTGTTTTGCTTCATCTACCTAGTCCTAAAAAGGTAGCCTAGAAATGTAGCTTGGGACTTGATTGCCCCTGATGGTGTACCAAACTATACAGTCTTTAGATACATTTGCTGCAAAGATTCTAAGGGTCATCTGGATAAACTACCAGCAGCTGACAAGGCACTCAAGAAAGATTAAAAAAATCAGTTTGCCAATTGAATGAATGAAAATGGTATTTGAAATAGCCACCATAAAGAATTGAGATTTGAGGCTTATCATAGGGATTTCCTCCGGTTCTATTGGCAGAAGAGGCGGAACCAGAGAGAGAAACAGGCAGCAACCAAAATTAATTATAAATGAACTGAACTTGATATAAAAATCAGCATACTTATGTACAAATATGATATATCTGAAATGAATTGCCTGCTTGTCTCTATTTTGAATGCCTTTGCTATGATAAAATAGGTTGATGCAAGACCCTGAATCAAGCAGTCAAATGTTCATAAACAACATTTACAAGGCAATGCTAAAATCAGCTTTGACAAAAAATCTTCTGGTTGCCTTGCATGCTCCTGTTTTGACTTTGTCTGAACCAAATAAATAGCAGTGTGATGAATTAAACATTAATTATTAAGAATATCAAGAGTTAATATACAGTTTTTGACAACAATTATCAATTAACAAAGTTTTCATGCAAATATCCATATCCTTGATGACACCATTGAACATACCAACGCGGAATTGAATTACTACCTGGAAAAAATATGAAACACATTCACATAAGAGCAATTTAATAACTCTAATATATTTGGGTTACATTAACAATACGATACATGAATTTGCATTGGAATTCTTACAAAACCAAGACAAAACTTTACAGCCTGACATTTTTGCAATAAAGTTGTGTTAGTTCATTATTTGATATTCTTTATACACACACTCCAGTGCCATGGCATTTCACGGTGGGCTGTGACCCGAAGATTTTTTTAGCCCCTTTATTTGCCCCCCACTTCTCTAAGAAGATTTTTTTTATTGGTTTGTGTTTCGGCTCATAAGCGTCTACCTAGTTTTCAATATGACATTTAATTATTAATTATCAATACCTATAAAGACTCTGGTTAGCTCCTAGGGTCTGTTGTTTGATGGTCTGCCGTTTCTAGCATTTTTAAATTCACCCAAAAGAAAGCTCTTATTTTATCAATATATTGTTTCCATACACTACTATCCCGCGGGTTTTCTGTCATGCAGCCCCTCCCCCCTCCCCGAAATTAACTGACAAAAATCCCCTCAGCTCCGGTGAAATCAAACTAATGGAAAAGGTAGATCATTCATATACGTTTAATTTATCAATCAAAAAAGTTTGATTCAAAGATAACCTTTAAGCTGGTTCGTTCGTAGAAAGTACCCATCCAGTTATACGAACCGGATTTAACTTAGGACACTAACTCTAGCTTTTATGAACAAATATTGTTTTTTTCAGTTATCAAACGGTAATGATGGATCATTTTATAACGTATAAATAACCAATTATTTGAAGAAAATAAAACCTCACCTTACTGTGTAACAATTTATCCATGCCACAGCAAGAAAATTGAAAAACGCCATGGAAGAGCAAAACTTAAACAATCGCGATAACCGTACTTTCATATGCGCATGCTCATAAAATGCACGGTTGAACAAGAGGCTTCAACATTGGCATCTTGTATCCCCAACACTCAAATGTTTTCTTTTTTCAAAGTCATTTTCAAGTTTTGTACCACCAAAAGATTGGGGTTTTTAGGATAATTTTTTTAACATAAAAATTTTGTGCAAAATTTGCAGGAAAATTTCAACAACAGTTCTTTGACATCCATTCCAAAAGGAAACAAGAAAAGATAACTAGAAGAAGCCAAAAGGCTGCCCTTAACGTCTCTGTCGCTGTCTGAGGATGTTCTTTCTTTGGTACCAGAGCCACATAATTCAAGAGCAGCGTCCTGCTTCTCTGCTTGGCATTCTTTTTTCGTATCTCTGGTACCCAGGGTAAGGAAGTCCCTAAACGAGTCTGTCCATAGCATAACAGACTCATTTTAAGACAGCATATGATGCGAATAAAGAACGCTGTATTATGAGCAAAAGCGCATTTGACAGTTGACGTGTCCTCATGGTGCGGTGATGACAGTGAACTGTGATCAACTATTGTCTTGTCGGGGTGAAGACCTTTCCGGTGTTAAGGGTCAAGGTCATAGGGTCTTAAGCCTGGTTCCTATTTGGTCGTTTGGGTCGTTTGAGTCGTCAGAGTCGTTCCTGAAAGACACGAACGACCCAAAGAACACATTGGTTTCCACTTGATCGTTTGAGTCTTTCGAGTCGTTTGTTGTTGATGCTGTTCATTGCTTGCACCTTGCATCGCTCATTTAATTTTGGCGGCATGCGTGGAAGGAACGATGGTAGCATTTGATAAACAACAACTGATGTTGCAAAGTCAACTATTTCTACCTCTGGTGACTTTGTACAGACGACGATGTTAGATCACTAAACTCCAGTGCAATAGCTTGCCATGATTTGATATTTTTGTATTTACTTTTAAACTCTTTCCAGTAATTGTTATAATGGCACTCGTATTTTTGAACTTCTTCCATAAAGCTTGCTGTGAAATATTCAGCTATCTTGCTCTTGCTCTTTTCGAACACGCGGTTACAAGAAAATCTCCTATTCTTGAAGAAAAAGTTATTAAAGCGTGGCTCGTTTGAGTCGTTTGTCGGTTTCCACTTGCAAAAACCATTCATGCGTGGGTATTTTGGGTCGCGGAGATAGAATGTTTTCTATTTCTACGACAACTGTCGATTGAGTCTTTAGGGTCTTTTGGGTTGTTGGCAGGTATGTTTCCACTGAGTCTTTTCAGTCGTTTGGGTATTTTCCAACGACCCAAACGACCCAACCGACCAAGTAGGAACCAGGCTTTAGGGTCTGGTTTTTACGGTATGCCAGAGAAAATACCCTGTTTGTTGAGAGTTCATCTTGTTTCCTCCTTCTATTCCACAATAAAAGTTCCTGTTATTTGGTTTTGGAGCTGATGTTTTAATAGTATTGAGACTGTTTCATGTTTCATGCAAACTTCAGAAGATGGAAACTATGTTCAAATTCTCCCATTTGCAGGGGAATGCTATTTATAGAAGGGCTCACTGGAGATGATATTTCTGCTAAACATATATAAGAGAAACAACTTGATCTATTTATAGGATTTTCAGAGGATTTATCCCAGTTTTTGGGCAAAGCCTCTTGTATCTCGGAAAAGCATCACATCCTCTCCGATTAACATTCAATTTTTAATTCTGCTCTAAACACTTGTTTAATAAAGTTTTCTTCCTAAAGTGGTCTTTGACAGAGCATTCACAAACTACGTCAGAGTTTTTGACAATACCCCCTGTATCTAAGAATTGCGCCCTCTCCTGCCCAATCAACATTCAGATTCGATTTCTATGCAAATTATTGGTTTAAAATGAGTTGGTCAGGTAAAGTTAATAGTCGCTGTGAATACGAAAATTATTGAAAAGTAAATTCTATCCTGTCAACAGTTACGAAATTTTGATCATACGTTCATTGTATTGATAGCTATGAACAAAAAAATAATCAGGACAAATTCTCAATTTTATAGCTCCAAAATTGTACCAGCGAAACAAAACAAACGCAGCTAGTCCAAAGGCTGGAGGGGAGGGGGGGGGGTCATGTCACCCGAGTGGAGAATTTACGACACCAACGTTTTCTAACGTAGTTTTGGCAGTGGATTACGAATTTGAATGTTGAGCAAGTGTTTGAAGAGGCGTTTTTGAGGAACATTTCAGCTACTGATTGCTTGTGGTGATGTTAATGTCAGTTAAAACATAATATTACTTATAGTTTGCTCTATATCCGTGAAACTGGTCATTATAAAACCGGTTTCTATTTTTGGGGGGCCTATGAACTTTTAACATTTCATCTTATAGTCCATACACTCGGGTCGATCCCGTAGAAACCTTTTTTGCCCGAATTCACCCTTCATAATCATTAACTACATCATTGTGCAAGTCAAAAAACTAGGGTGGGCATCTGGGCGCGTGGTAGGTCTTCTGGAAATCACATCGAAAGATAAACCCCTTTTGGTCGCTTTTTCGCTAACAAAACCTATCAAAAGGCTTTGTGTGAGGTTTTTTGACCCTTTGCTTTGGAAGGGGGTCATCCAAATGAAATGAATAAACGTTCCTACTATTAAATGAAAAATTACCTGAAAACGGCCTTGAAAAATACAAACATTTTACAACATACTAAAAGCTTTTTCGTCTGACACTCCTCAGAGCATAAAACTTTAGAATCAGGTCCGAAAGAACACGATGAAAAATATATACCCAGTTGTGGATCGAAATAAGCCAATCAGAAAAATGCAAGCACAAGACCGGTATAGTTGACCAATCAGTGCCATAAGCGTAAAGAAAAATTACCACTTGAATCCAAGAGGGAAAACGAACTCCTTCTGTCTACACAATGGCGGCTTTTTCGTTTGGATGTAGATTGACTCCAAAACTGCTAGATGGAAGGACGACCGGGCTCTGCCAATTATCCGAAACATGTCGTCATTATAGAATTTTGATCAATCTGGGATGTCTAAAAGATGTTGACCGATGGCAGAATCACTTGTTTTAACATTTTTTCTAGACCTGCAAGATCGTTTTAAGTTTTTCCAGTTCAGCGTGTAGTTTAGATTTCGAGCAGATGAGTGGTAGATGCTCCAAACATCTTTGTGAACTGTGTCAGAACTTTTTTATTTGATTACATGTAACTACATGTAACAGTTAAAAATACAGCATTTGAAATTTTGGCTGTGAATTAGATTGATTCTTTTGCTTTCATCTACTAAAACCACATTCATAGAAAGGCAGTGAAGCAGAGTTATCGATGAAGTATCTAGGGACAACCGGCAGGGCAATGTTTCTTTTTCTGGATTGCTGTATAAAAAACTGTTAGGAGCAGGCTTGTTCCGATGTGGTGAATATCGATATTGACCCGTGAAAACAAATGGCGAAAATCAAACAATATAGTAAGTGGTTACTCAGTACTTATCGTTTTTGCAATTTTGCCAGCCTTCAGTCACTTTATCGCTGTGCTGTGTTTTTTTATATTTTAAGACTTTCATTTTTTTATATTGTCTATCAGAGAACGTTGATTGTTGATTGTAGTGAGGCTAGGCCGTCAGGAATGACTGTTGTTTGATTTTGATTAGCGGACGGGCGGAAAAGAGCGGATAAAGATGAGCAGAAGAAAGATATTCCTAATAACTCCGGTAATCTGCCAGTTTTAGTCAGCCTACTGGAAAATTCTTTCCAATTCTCATAAACCATGACGGATGAATTAAATAACTGTAAGAAGCTTCAATACAAATCAGGAGGCAAGGGAAAAATCATCTAAATTTGCCAAAAGTTGACTTAATTTTGGAGAGGGAGGAATATTTCAAGATTACATCAATTTGTGATTAACATAAAAGATTGATATTTTTTTTTTTTTTTTTTTATATCCAGATAAAATGTTACAATACAAATTACATTCTACTTTACTTGCTAATTACTCTACGATACTACAGGTACGATACCATGGAGAGCAATGGACAATTCCAAACCCCATGGCCATTACATGCAACTAGAGAAACAAATACGAACGCTACACTTACACTTAATCAATGTTACAATAAAAGAAAAGAAGTATATATATATAGAAGATTACAGGTACAAGATAATACGTTTTGAAAAACTGAAAATAGCAATTAAGTGGGTGAGACACAAGATTAAGGGATAATTGATGACACTGATTTTATGATCATTCAAAGCGTTCCGTTCTTGAAATATACAGAATAGTAGATTCCAAAATGAATTTATTTACTTTAAATGGCAATATTGATATTGTTCGCAATGACAAGCCAAAAATCATGATGAATCTCGGTAACAGTAAATGAATTTGAATTTGAGCAAACGGTCGAGAAATGGCCTTTGGACCAACGCCTAAAATAACCAACAAAAGACTGGGAGGCAGTGTTATAGACCGATTCGATGCGTGATTAACATCTTATAATTCTGAAAGAAAATTGTAGAAACTCCAAGGCTAGCCAAAACTGACAAGACTCCTTCTGATTTGTCACAAGAAACATATTAAATGGTATGTAGCAAGACTTCTTGCTCAATATAATGTTTACATCTGAGAACTTGTTACGTCGCCAATGCAGTGGCAAAAGACAATAGTTCACTCAACGGCAATTCAGCAGCGATAAATTTTGTCAAATTTCTTACAATTTTCCTTACTAAAATATGATTTTCAGCACATATTAAAATGTCCATTTGATTCTGGCAAATAACAATTTATCATTGCATTGCATGCCTTGTTTTTTTGTTTTCTTCAATTTCCAAACCGGTATTGTGAATTCTAAAAATGCAATTCCTCAGCAATCGATAATATTCCAGTACAACGTTAGTAGGTTCGTGCGAGGACATGCACCACTGTCTGCAATATTGCATAAGTCACATATCTGAAAGGTAAAATATCCCCACCACCCCGAGAGGCTAAATGAGCACTTTTGGCAATTCTATTTTATAGGAAGTTTCTTTTTTGTGGAAAAAGATATCAGCATCTTCAGTCTGAATTTTGGGAATTTTTTGAGATGGGTTTTGTGATAAGACTATAATTCGCCCTTTTAGAGATACAATTTTCTAGTAGCTCGTTTGTTTTTAGTAATATTTTATTGCGCTTACTTTGCTATGATTTTTTTGGCCTGCATAGCAAGTTATGTACACAATATTGTGATAGAATGATGATGTTATTAATTGTATTTTTTTCTGATTTTCACTGCAGAGGCGCCAAGTATAATTTCCAATCCCCTGTAAGTGCTATTTGGGTCTTGCTACCAAGAATTTTCAAAAATTTGATTTCCTGGAAACTAAAAAAGAGAATTTCTTATTTGCCTCTCATTGATATGAAGACCCAGTCTCCGTCAGCCAATACAGGTATCCCTTGCAAATTTCGAGATCTTAGGGCACCATATATTTGGTTCGTTCAAAAGTGTAATACTTTATGAACTTGTCCGGTTCGCTATTCACAGTTGTTTGTATAATCCATTATAGAAAAGTATTTTATTTGTCAGATTTACAAGAATAAATCTGGAATGTTCTTGTAAGACTGCTTTGAACAACAGAAGTATAAGATGTGGAACCTCTGTTTCTATTCTTTTGAAATTCAGTAATCATCAGCTTGAACTATTATCAAAAATCTTAAGACTTATTGCAGAGCCTCATCGTATCGGATGACTTTTGTTGAAATATCATTTGCCGTCGCGGAGGAATAACAACACAGAATTAATCTATTTTCGTTCAATCTAAAATATTTAAAAGTAGGCTGAACGAGCACATGGTTATCTCACCGAAGACTGGTCACCAGTGTACTGAAAAACGTGGGAACAATAAAGCACAGACTATGCTAACAAAAAAGAAACAACAAAATCAATACTTCAGTTACATCTAACATGCTGATAAAAGGTCTACTCTTTAATAAGAATTAGCAAACTTCTTGCTAAGGCTTTGCTTTATAAAAGAATAATATCTTACATGACACACTGCTATTTCATCATGAAAGATTCATTTGCAAAAGAGTTTTTGTGTTTGAAAATTATCAATTTAAATAAGGCGTGGTCTAGTTCATAAAGCAAGATCAATTTTTGAGCTTCCTTTGTCAATAAGTCGAATTGAGATTGATAATTTTATGTAATATAGCTTTTATCTCAATATAATGGCATAACTTGCCGTGATGTTTACAAAAATGACTATGACGATCCACGTGGAATCAAGTATAGAAATTATGTGCCAGTTCGAGATGTAGTATATACTTTTGCAAAAAATGCAGTTGTCAGTTATTTGGTTGAAGACAGAGCTACAAACCCGGACAAAAACAGTTGAGACTTTTCAAGAAAAGCTGATATCTCTATTACATTTGAAAAATTGAAAAAAACTTCCTCCTCTCTCACAATTCGATGTTGAATGCATTATTTTTAAGGAATGCATGATTAGAACTACAAATCCGACATTGATTCTAGGGGAAAGAGGGGGCTCCTAATTGACAAAGGCAATGTAAAAAAAAATTGTAAAAATAGTTTTTTGTCTCAACAATTTTGTCCGGGATGATAGTATTGCTAAAAATGCTGAGTATAGCAGCCTCTCATTAAATTTTTGTCAAAGTTTCATTATATAATATGCCTCGACTATGATTTTATCAATCCATTTTCACCCCTGACTTAATTGAGCCTTGCTTGTTATCGATGCTAAATCCAAATAGACGGATGAACTGACAATTTTGGAAAATACTAGCTCAATAAAATTCGTCAGTAGATTTGTCTAATAAAATTAGTACAAAACTTTTTATGAATATTTGATAATGAGGCAATCGAAACTTTTTATTTTTCCAAATATTTTCCATTAGTTATTCAGTACCAGCGACTTTTTCAGCTCTCTGAAACCATGTGGCAGTCATCTTGATAGAATGAGATTTTATATCTTTTTCAATAGATTAAATTGCACATACCGAAAGCAGTTGACTAAACAAGAAAATTTTTATCATGGAGGAAGAGCCTTTAATGAAGAAAAATGAAAGGTGCACACAGAGAAATAATTTTTTAGTTCTATCTGCTCATTAACAACATTTTTTTTGATTGAAAAACCACTATTACATTGATTTAACATTCGACTGACACTCAATGTCATTGGTTTGTGTATGAAGGGAAAGAAGGTCATTGTAGCGGAAAGGTTTCAAGTTTCCACAAAACGGAATTTCTCCTTGCTTTTCAATGTCAGTAATCTCTGTAGAAATAAATTTCATGGGCCTTTTTTTGAATTTTTGATTTACGATGAAGTATTCTCATTGTTGATGAAACAAAAGTATTTTAAATGGTCTGTTTAAGAATAAGCAACTGGTTTTTCTTACCATGTAAGCCTTCTGGTTATTCACTTTTTAAGAAACGCCTCTTAATTCTTTAAGGTTGAAGTTCAGTTTTAGTTGGCAGTTATCAAAAATGATCGTTAATCTTAAGATATAAGTTCCAATAACATTGGTATCACTTGATAGTTCACTTTTCTAAACACAGTAAAAAAGAATTTTTATACGTAAACTTTTACATGCTGTCCCAAAAGGTGCTAGTTAATCTTGGCATCATATCTTAAAAATTTTAATTGATCTTCAGACATTTACATGACGAATCCCGGTTAAGCGAGATATCTAGCAATGAAGATGTTGAGATGCCTGAAGATCACAAGCTAAGACAAAGGTCAATGCGTGTCATCTACTTGATTTCCTTCTTTGGTGCAATAGGTGAGAGAATTTGTGCCATTCAACCGATTTTTCTCAAATTTTGAAAAGCACTTTAATTAAAACTTTCGCTGTAATGGAATACAGCAAATTGCTTACCCCTTTCCTCAGTTTCATCGAGAAGCTGAAAATACGATAAAATTTTATCAGTAATATTTTAAAAACCATGATTTCTTTTATATAGTTACTTGAAAATGCTTTAAATATCGAAAAGAAAGAAATAAATTTACAGAAACAAAATTTCCGAAATTTTATTTTTGCAGCGTATACAATTACAATGCCATCACTCTGGCCCTATATGAAAAAGGTATGGTTAAAAGTCTACTATGGTCTTTTCTTATCAAATTTTGAATTAGCACAATATTTTCAAAACTATAAGGACTTAACATGAAGATATTTTTCTTTGGCATTTGAACTTCTTGAATCTAGCACTTCTTAGCAATAAACTAGTGATACTTTAAAAGTCATTGCTAAGTGTTGAATAATTTAGAGATTTTTGTTATCGATCTTATCAGTGTATAAGCTAAAGATGACAACGTACTTACCCAGCAAACTCCTGATATTTGTTTCTTGATACTCTGCCTGAAATCTTTAACATTTTGGAACGTTTACATTTGTTTCTTGTTCGCCCCCTCTTTTAGCTTGATCAGCTGGTGAAACCATGGCATTTTGGTATTGCTAATGGTGGCTATAATCTCGGGCAGCTGATTGGTTTGGTTACTTTTAGTGCATGGTATCACACTCATGGAGCCCGCGCGCCTCTTCTTGCCTGCATCCTGCTCAAATTCTCTGGAGATTGCTTGCATGCTCTTGCAGCAGCGTTTCCTGGAAGCAATGGCGTAACCATGCTTATAGCGGCAAGATTTGTAACCGGTTTGTCTAATAGTACGAAAATTCATGTCATATGATTGCGAAAAATCATGTCATATGATTCAAATTCGCACCTTTTCTAACATATAACTTTGGATCAAAACTAAAAAAAATCACTATTTCAACGTATTTTATTTGTTTTTGGTTTTTCCCAAGCTATCGAAGGTAGTTTTAACGATATGGGGACACGCTGCTTCCCGAGTATCCATAACTAGAACCCAACACTCTTGTGTCTGTAGTGTGAGCCATTGATCAAATGATAATCTCATTTGTCGCTTAAAGCATTCCTGACATCGTGACTGTTTACGGCTCCTTTATTTTTTTTGAAGCGACATTTCCAAAAAGGGGAATATAGCTATTGATTATTGATATCAACACTATTTTCAGATAATCAAGACTATTCATTGTATTCTAGTCCATAAATATTTTGCATAACACATGTCAACTGAAAAGTGCCTATATCCTTTTAAAGGTTTATACTATTTTATCGAGTAAATGGTAGGGTGTCATTATATAAATGGTATTGTTTTGTTACTAGGTCAAGTGGTTGTTTGTCGCACTGTCTTGGCACAATCATCAACTCTGAAGGAAAGAAAGATAATCTTTGCTTCCCTTTTCACAATTTACGCATTAGGATATGGACTTGGGCCAGGAAAATGTTTAACTTTTTTTCAACCAAGTTAAAAAGACAAGCTTTGTTGTGCATCATAAGAACAGTAAGTTCAAAATGAAAGTGCAGTACTGTTACTGTTTATCTACTTCGAAGAATGCCCTAATTTCAAATGAATCACGGGTTATTCTGAGAAAAAGTTAGAAACTACAAATTCAAGCATTTGTATCTGTTTTGCTAAACTTTATAGCTGTACAGTTGGGAAGAAACCAAAAGCAACAGTAGTACTAGAACCACTGTCCCAAAAAGTCTTTTGCTTTGCTTTAAAGTAATCCCCTTTAATTTTTTTCTTTTTCAACAGGCCAAGTTTTTTATCGGTAATAATCTAAAATTGTTACCATATTTAACGAAGTTTCAAATGAAACGTTTCTTGTATCCATGTTTCCAATCATGGATGTGGTGGTTTTATCGGGTGCAATTCAGTGAATTCTTCAGGGTAAAATTGTTAGAGTTCAGTTTCTCAGGGTTTTTTTAAGATATAAACATGTAAGCAGTTTTGGTACAATATATAGCCTCTTTTTCTCATTCTTTCTTCTTTTTTCTGTATCTTGAAACTCAGATTTTCAGTGTTGCGATGGAAGCCATATGCCTTGGGAGTTAATTTGTTTTCCTTTCCTTTTTTTCTATCCTCTTTATCTCTGGATACCCCTGTATTGACGATATGATTGGACACAAATCTTCCTCATATGTAGAAATAGGTATAGAAGACTTCTTGATTTTTCCTTTCCCATGTTTAAACATTCTGTTTTTCTTTTTAAGATATTCCATGCCATGTATATTGCGTTATCTTCAGCATCATACCCTTCCTCCATTCTATTTTTAAACAATCTCACCCTTGCGGCGCCAGATGTTTCAGCTAACTGATCTATGCATCTATAGATGCTATGGCTCGAGTCTGTCCTTTGCTTGATGGGTGTGGATGCTACGTGGAAAGATGTTGACGTCGCTTGAGTATCAGAGCTCGGGTCATTACGTAAGGATGGCATTTGTTTGCTACTTGATGTTGGCAAAGAATTTGGATTCCCACTAACGGCATCAGCAGAAGAGGCCTTACTATCAGGGTGGAACATTTTTGATGTTGCAAACATTGACATGTTCATTGCATCTCGATTGACCGGCCAGATTCCAGAGCATTTAAATGATGACTCTATTACGTCTGGTCTAGCAGCTTTATCAAAGGCTTCCACGAAAACGTGATAAAAAGTTATTTTTGAGATAGCCACGCCCGAAGGAAAATTTAGTGCATGATTTTTTCCACTCATTTCTAAATACATTAAAAAGAACTCTGTCCGCTGGCTACATCACAGGGAGGTGGGAGAAGGTGTAAGAAGTTGGTTGTCTTTACAAAACAAGGTTGTATTATAGTCGATGTGAGACAGATGACCATCAATCAGCAAGAGAACTGGTCGCTTGGGTGGGATTTGCTGGACAAAGTGATTCGTAACCCATGCATAAAAATGATACGATTCTATCCAGCCATTATCAGAAAACCCAAGAAAAACATTTTTGAAAAACCTAAACAGTATTCTGGGTTCAATGATTTGCCAGGAAAAGAGACTGAAGATGGTTTAAATGATTCACTGAGCACGATACACTGTAGAGTCGTTATGGGTGTTATAGACGAGCTGGACCGATGAAAAGCACCATTTTGTCAACGCAAACATTTTTGAAGGAGCATGTCTGCAATGGAAAACCAAACTTGTCCCTATTGTATATTTGATCTGATGATGAAATATCATATTCATTAAGAAAATGCTCAAATGCGTCAAACCATGCAAAAATGACTTTTTTCTTCAGGCGGATGCTCTTGACGATACAAGTGGCTTGGATTTTAAAATATGAAGGCCTGGATGTCGTCGCCCATAGCCATACCATCATATTTTTCCAGGACGGTTGCAGAAACCCATACCACCATGTTTTTCACTTTCCTTCTCGCCTTATCTAAAACCTGCTTTACCGCCTTGCATACCATATCAGTGTTTTTACCAAACACACGTTCTCCACATTCCTTTACCCATTCTACAGACACATTTTCTTCGTTCGAAGTTAACACGGTGTCTTTTCCATGTTCAACCCTTTTTCCCTTTTTGGATTTTGCAATTAGCCTTGCCAACGTTGTAGTAGGAATACCGTTCTCTTTATTCGATTTTGTTATTGAAGAGCCATTTAAAACATCTGATATTGATTTGTTTATAATTTCCTTATCGAATTTCTGCCAATATTTCAGAGGTTTGGGATGTGTTCCTCCAGACATTGAGATATGGTATGGTAGTCTCGGTGCTAATGCTGTAAGAGAGGATTCTTAGAAGGGGTGTAAGCCACGAGGCTGGGGGGCTTGGGAGCTTGGGGCTGGGGACCAAACCTTCTGTTGAATTTAAAAATTTTCATTGAACATTTCCTTTTTTTCTTAGTTGCTTTCTATCCATCCCAGCTCCTAGTGGATAGTACCAAGTGTCAATAACAGCTTCTTTTTCCATCAACCCGGTGTGAAGTTCGCTTCCCTGTCTCCAGAATCAGTGAAACGGGGGCAATTTTTTCCCTCATTAATGGGCAAAGTTTTCTTGTTAAAGTTCAGGATATTGTGGAATGCTTATTCCGGTGGTGTAGGGGAGTGTCACCCACAACCCCAACAAATACAACAAATAGGTCGAAGAACTGAGAAAGGTTTAAAATCAGAAAGGCAATAGGTGTATGATAACCATCGACCGGGGCTTTCTTGCTGTGAACAGAGGCGCCGGAAGCTGGGGCAAGACCTGCAGAAGGGTACCTAGGGGCGTCAAAGTTTCTGATGAAGCAGGTCGGGAATTATCGTTTAGCCAATGACAAATCTTGGCTGTAGGTGAAGGCCCAGTTTAGGGAGACAGGATCATCGTGCTGGAGGCGTAGGCCCTCTACCGACCTGCTTCCATTGGTGAGCATGCTAAATGTAAGAAAATAATTCACGTTGCTTATTTAATATCTTTAGCAAGAGCCAAACATGCTACTTTGCGAAGGATCAAATGATACCGTAGCCATTTTGGATTATAAAGGCGCCATTTTGAATTTTTACACAGAAATTGGTCTTCATCGACATTTTAAGCATATAGAACTACCTAAACCCCAATATTGCTGCGCAAGAAGCGCATATCTTTTTCAAAATGGTATTGCAGCCATATTGAATTTTTTGGTAGCCATTATGAAATTTTGGATACTATTCTCTGGCACTATTTAAAATTAGTCAGCACCATCATCTAAAAGCAGGTTTTCAAATAAAGTGCCCAGTCTTTCCCAATATGGCGTCGCTGTGTGACCGACTATGTGCTTGTGGAGTGACATTTAGGACAAAATGTTTGAAACAACTTTAATAGCGTTTTATTTCAAGCTATGCCAACTAGACGGACGAAACTAATGACGATAAAAGCAAGGTATAAGTAGCAATTGCCAGTCTGTTTTTTTTGACCATACAACTGTAAAATTAAAATTCGAAACTGGTGACATGATTTATTTTTTGCTCTGAATTCTTAATGCTGTCTGATTTAACAGTTTAAACAGGCCCATTCTTTGACATTATCAATTTCGTGTTTTGTTCAAAAACGGTATAGCGACTATAAAGTTTCGTAAATATTGTTTTTCCTCTACATAGAATGTCTTTCTATATCTTTAATTCATATATTCCAGTAAGTCTTTGTTTAATTTGATCGCCATTTCACAAGTGTTTGCAATCTGCGAACTGCATTTCCCTCACCAAGGAAATGTGTGATGTAAGTTCAAGTGAAGGATCGACCGTACACAAAACCTTTTACAGTATTTGTCCTGTGCTCTCCACTGGCTTCTCCTCAGCAGCATCAAAATCAGCAAACTTGGCTGATAAAAACAGCCATATTTGATTTTCATAAACAACAATCAAAGAGGGCGATAAAATTGTAGATTTTTGACTACAAAAGATTCGTCGGATGTCGTGGAAATGGGGATTGAAATCGGAAAAATTTCGTCGTTCGAAAATCAGAGATCGGATGCGATATCGGAAATCAAACGAAACGGAAATAGTTAACAAATATTTTGTAATGGAAATCCTGCGTTCAAGAGGGGTTTTGACTACCATCTTCCACGCGGAGTGTCTTTCAAGATGACTCATCATAAATCTCGATGCTTGTAACGATGCTGCCTAGTCTGAAACCAATTAGTTGTCATTGAATGTCACGCCTCGAGAACCTGTCTTTAACATACAGGCATTTCCGTTAGGCCAAACAGCCTTTTACAACAAACTCTTCTCTTCTTTTCGTTGCCGTGCGAGCGTACAAATTCTGTTTCTGTAAAATTCGTTTAGCGTCACACCTTCATTATAATTGTTGATCGCATATATTTTAAAAGTTATATCAAGAAACAATGTAAGCTTTGAAATTTGGGTTGAAAAAGTCTAAGTCAGAAAGAGAAGGTATCACATTAAACAATCGTAAGTGTGCATTAGTTTTTGAACAGAAAAAGCATTTTTAGAAATCTTTAGTGTCTTTAGAAATACAAGCATTTTTAACATTCATATGCTCTTTGAATTCAATAATGATAGTTTTTCTGTTTCAGGGCTACAAGCTGTTCTGGCATTCATTCTCAAAAAAGAATATCGTCATTCGTTTATCATCCTAGACGCCTTCAACGCTCCTGGCTGGCTCGGAATGGTTTTGCAAATTATCAGTTTCAGCTCTGTATTGATTTTATTTAAAGAGTACAACTTAACCAGCGACAACGAGACGAAAACAGGCTAGTGAGAGAAGAAATCATGTTTAATTATTTACTTAGTATACATTTTTAAGTTTTCTGGATTTATCGTAATGGTTGCTTTACTAAAAACAAATATCAAATTGCTATGATTACCTTCTCAACATTTAAAAAATTCAAAAATTATCTTTTCGCTTCATTCTTTATTTTAGGTGACTTGCCAAAACCAGATACTTTTGCTCTGATTTTGGTCGCAGGTTCCTATTTTATCATCTACATGGTGTTTGCAGCAGTTGAGACGTAAGGAAGCGTTATCAGTTCCTGAATTTGAAACAGCGTGTTATTAAGCCTTTCTTCTTTTCTAACTTACCTTCTTGACTTTTCTGCAACGATGGATTATTTAAGTTTAGAGCTCTGAATATTGAATTAGAAACACATAAAAAGAAGCACATAAAATTACTTATTATGAGACCACACTAAAAGGCAGTGCGATACGCCATTTTGTCGGCAAAGGGCAATAAGGTACCTCTCCAAAAAACTTTCTGGCTGCATAACAAGTATTTTCATTAAAAACGTATCCTGTTAAATATTGACCCTTTACAAAGAACGCAAACTTTAAACCTGCACATTTAATGAAGCTGTTACGGTAGTCAAAAAGCTGTTTAAATTTTAATAAACTTTTTGAATGATGCAGCAAATGTACTGTCTGCTTAATACATTTTGATGTAAGATAACTTCTTTGAGAAAAACTTCAGTGACTTCAGTAAACTTCAGCACTGATGACAAAAATGCAACTTTCAATTGCTCGTTTTACCCCTTTAGGCTGACAGCTCCTCTAATGGCAGATGAACTAGCAATGACAAAACACGCGACAGTTTTCAATGCTGGCATCCTGTTATCTTCCCTTGGACCTATTGCAATTATGTCACTTGCTTTTGTCAAGTGCACATCCAAAAGGTAACGCTTTAGTATATATTCTATAACCAAATTTATTTTTACATTTTCAAGTTTAAATTTACTAACTTCTTTGATGGACATTTATTAATCAAAATAAAAAAAATTCATTGTTTTTATTCAAAGAAGTATCTGATCCGCATTACGTTCTTATGATAAACTTCTGAGAAAAATGTAAAACTATTTTTAAAAATCTGAGTAAAACAGGAAAGTACAAATAAATCCACTATTGCATGTTATCGATTGTTTTGAGAAACTGTTTTTCAAATTCTTCTATAACTTAGAATGAGTGAAAGGCAAGTGATTTTGGTAGGATGTACGGCTGCATTGGTAGGCTTTATCGTATTTTTACCCTGGGGAAACACATATCCAATTCTTCAAACAACAGGTGAGCAACGATACGATATGCTTTTCTAATAATGCATTTTCACGCTTAAATTTTACAAATCCCTGCAAATGTATCAAATGTACAGTTTATGTTAGTATCATAAGCAAAAACAAGATAACCGAATGCCATCTTCTCAATTTTAGAGTTTGTCAAAGTTGGAAATCTGACTCAATTTCGTTTGAAAGAAGGTTGCCCAGCAAAGTATCAGTGGTGCAAAAATACACCTAAAATACACCTTGGACAATTAATAATTGCTGAATTGATGGCTTTGATTGGCTACACATTGCCATATCTAGTTATAAATGGACTGTTTTCAAAAGTTGTTGGTCCAAGAAAGCAGGTAATACCTTATAATACCTTTTTCAAACTAAATAGGGTTGCTCATGTGGTGAATTAGTTTATGACAGGCGTTCCTATTCTCCGGCCCGCGGGTCAACTCATGCCCGCAACAAGAAACCATCCGGACCGCTTAATGTTTTTGCCTAAAATGTATTTCCTTTCCTAGACTCATCCTTTTTCATGTCAACATCAAAATAAATAAAGCTATGAAACCTAGTTATAAAAGACTATAACAATGTTTTCTTAGATTTTCTGCCGTTAAATTCTATATTAGAGGTAGATTCTGGCCATCCTTAGATTTGTATAATCTAAAAATGTTTTTGTTGCCATCCATGGTGACTCATACTATCTACCTTAACAATCGTCACATTTTCCTCTCACTTTAAAATACGTTTCACAGTCCCTGGATCTGGCTACAAGGACTTCAAGTCCACATAACAAAGTCTTTCAATGATTATCGTCCCAAGCTATAATTTCCACAGTGAGGGCAAAACAGCGATCTTCTGACACAACCTGGTACAGAGAAACGTCAAGCTATGAAATATTGTGTAAATCTTTTTCTGGGATTATTTGCTATGCTACATTTTGAAGCTTTTAACCCAACCTCTTTCATAAAGTCATCCCTGGCCTCGGGTCTGTGAATCTGTCATGCATTGCTCAAAGAAACAACCTCTCCAGCATCTAGCCAGGACCATGTCCTTGAAGGTCGTCATTTGCCTCCCCTTTTCCCTCCAATCATCCACCTTTCCTAAACTTATTTTATGAAAATAAGCATACTAAGATTTTGTGAATAAAGAAATAATGGCACTGTCTATTTTATTTCTAATTTAGCTTAGTAAGTATGAGACCTTAATTTTTTGGCAGCTTTTTTAACAAAGATAAGTAAAAGTTCAAAATTTAATAGCCCCCGGAGAAATTCTATATGTTTTTCTGACCAAGCACTCAAAATACTCAAGAACCTCTCGCTTACGTCAAATTTTTTAGCCACAGAAATCAGTCAATATGATACAAGATATTTCAAAGCAAAGATTTGCAATGAGTACTTTTTATCTATCGTCTACCTAGAAAATGGAAAAAAATAACATTGGATGACAATACTGATGCAAGCAAATTTTTTTTCCACAGGCGTTTTACCTTGCTATGCTGTCTATATGTGCGTGTGTATCAGCAATTCTATCACCAATACTACTGGCGTATATTTACGAACATTTGGGACCCAGATATGTATTCATTACAACAGCTTCCGTTTTATCACTTTTTATTTTAGTCTTCACTTATTTTTTTAGCAGACTAGTACCTTTTGAAGAATACATCAAGAAAAACGAAAATATGGAAATCAAAGTCTTTGAACTTTGTTAGATTTCTTTGACTAACAAAAATACTGTTTTAATGAAACGTTGTGTTGATTTCTAGTTTATCGGCTTTTCCTTGATTTATCAATTTAGCAGTTAAGGAATGTAACGCAAAGAGTGAACTTTTAGAAAGGATATTAGGGTAAATGTAAAGAAAGTCGTTTACACAACCCAACCAGACCTAACCAATACCTAACCAAATTATATCAAATCTGATATCAAAGTCTTGCTTTTCAAGACCGGCTTCAAACGAACGATAACTAAACAAATATGTTTTGTGAACATCGAAAGACGGTGAAGACGATTAGATAAAGCAAAAAGTATGTAGATTAAAGCAGGTGAAGAATAAGATGTGGCTAAGTGGCTGATGCGTGAAAGCAGGACCAGGCAGGGGAGGGGGCTAAATCAGCCTGTATCTCATGTTCTTTATGCGATTGTTTATGTAGCAGAAAGATACGGTTGAAAATGTCTTTTCCTAGAACATATCTTCTGAGATTATGATGCAAATTTTAATATTATCAATTTTTGACAGTTGCCATAAGAACCAGCCTTTGAAAACCTACACTAAGACACAAAATGCTCTTTAGCTTTCTTCTCAGTAGTTTCATGAAGCCTTTTTTACTATTCTATAAACTGATCTAAAGCTAAGTTCTTTATGGTATATTCTATTTTAAATCTTGACAACAACAATTTCTGTGTGTCCCTACCAATTCATTTACCTCTTTGATACCTTTTCAGTAGGCTATTCCCAGAAGTTCTTTTATCTATCTAAATTAAAATGTTTAAATATTTCCTAAGGCCTAACTATTGCGTTTCAATGTAAACTGTAGAACTTCCTTCTGTCCTCGTTGACTCGTGGTCCTGTTTTTAGCATAATTCCGGGCTTCCTCAAAACTCATAATTCCGAGCTTCCTGAATAAAATACAAAAAATGTCTAAAAAACAAAAATTTCTGTTAACCTTAAAATATCTTTCAGACATGAAATTTCCTAAAAGTAAGCAAATTTATCAAAAATTTGACATGAAATTTCCTAAAAGTAAGCAAATTTATCAAAAATTTGATTTTTCGAGCTCTTTTCATTTGCGGCCCACGTGGTTCGGCTGCCCTAGTGGTTCGGGGGCAGCAAAGTGCCCATTGTTTTGGTTCGGGGGCAGCAAAAATTTTGAAGACTAGTAGGCTTTTTTGGTTTGTTAAATTTAAGTTTTAACGAAATGTTAAAAAGTGTTTTTTTCTAAACCTTATTATTCTTATTACACTCCGTACATGAGCAAGTCAATATGATAAACTTTTGAGTTCATTCAAGCTAAAACCTGCAGAGAGTTTGCGCATATTCTACCTTTTTAGAATCGTTCTACGCGAATATCCTTAGGAGACTGTCAATATCAAATTACATTTACCAAGTTGCAAATATCCGTTTGATCTTTTTAGGAGGCATTGCACTAGAATAATTGTTTAAGCATAATACGAGTCATGCTTTATTCTGCAGTATGCGGTGCGTTCCCCCCCCTCCCACTCCCCCCCCCCCTACCATCACCATTCCTTCTTTTCGTGTCTACTTCTCGGATTGAACCTTTATTTACTTCACTCCGCCTCCTTTTGCCTCTCTCTTTGTCGCTCAATCATTCGATTGTGTGACAGCTGCATCAGTCTTTCCCTGGAATCAGACACCGACCATGAATTGCTTATTTAGGGGTCCTGTTGTGGAATTAATCTATAATTTTGCGGTTTAGACGTATTTGCAGCTTTTTATAGTATCCTCCAAAGGTCAAAATCCTTAATTATTACACTCTATGCTTAACTTGATTAAAATGGGAGATACCACAAGGCTTTCAGGGAACGAGACAAAAACCATCAAATCTAGGAAACAATTTTTCAAAGGTTGCTCAGGTTTTGGTTTCTTCAATTATAGCTACTCCATTGCATACTCTAACTATTGGTTTTGTCGATGTGCACTGAGTCGGCTAACTTTGTCTTCTGGATCTAAATACAATTCAACCTATTTTGAATACATTTGATATTTTTCATTATGGACGAAATAGCCTAAATCCGCTGATTGGATATCTGCAATTCATATATGGCATAGCGCGATGATCTGTTAGCAAAGACGGCGGATTGCACTTAGTAGCATTGACCATTCAGGAAGTCAATGAGCGTTAAAAAACGTATTGCGCAGCACCTGAAGAATAGATTCGGTTGTGTATGATTGTCTTTACCTTGGAAACAAAATCGGTAAAATAAGGTTGCAATGCTTGCCATTTTTTATACATTCCAAAAAGTTACATAACAAGTTACTGTAAAACCTTAACTACACGCTACTTTACATACACTACAAAGACGATACCCCGGAGAGCATCAACTCTATCTACCCCGGGGCCATAACAAAGAGAGAAAACAATGCACGTTTGTAATTACAAATACTTAAAGAAATAAGAGAGGGGGTGGGTATATGAGAAGTAAACTTTAATGGAAGTGATTGGTTACAAAAAGATAGTTTTTTGTGAGATTTGAAATTAACTTGTTAGCTTGCAAGAGCAAATCTTCCTTTCCCATATAAAAGGATTTTCAATAGATTGTTATCTAGAGCCTCAGGTTTACCATAGGCTTTGAGTATATTTTGGACACCAGCGAGGAGACTTCTTCTAAGTTCATTAAAGGAATGGCAGAGCAGCAGGAAGTGTTCAGTATACTCTATGTCATCGTTTGTTTGACTGAGTGGGTTTATTTTATCTTTGAAATAATGCTCGAATTTATGGAAGTTAGTTTGCTTAGTCCCACCTTTAATTTGGTCAAATATGCACCCCTTTTTGGATACTGGATACCATATAGGTAGTATTGGGGAGGCCTAATTTGTGAGCCCTATTTCTTTTTCAAAATGCTTAGGTTCGGAAGGAGAAATAGAAAGAGATTCCATTATTTTGGGATCAAGTTTATTCCATTCAAGCAAGGAGTTAGGGTACCAAAACTAGATTTAGATTTTTCAGTTATTGCCCTTATTTGCCCTACAACAGGTTGATTTCTAAGGAAATAGCTAGGTTCATTATGTACTGAAATAGGATACCTTGTGTACTCAGGAGTCATATTGTTTATGATTTTATGAAAAAGAACAATATGCCTACTCCATCTTTTAGCACTTAGCGATTCCCATCCCAGTGCTTGCCATTGTTTGCTCATTCTATCCACATAGCTTTCGCCAGAGACAGCCATCTTGTTTACCTAAGCAGATAATCTTATACGGTTGGGTCTTTGCAAACTCCTGAAAATACTTAAACTCTTTATGTCGAAGGGTTGATCTACCAATAAGTGGGTTTTATGCGCAAATCCTCCAGAGGTTAATAATTATAAACAAGTATTTGACGCACAAAGATAGCGCATATGACAGCTACCCTTAACTGTGCTAGCATCTGACAAATCTCTCTTCAGCTGAATCGATACACTTTGTTTTTGACCAAACATAACATAATCTGTGTCAGAAGCAAAACCAATAATGCTCTCCAAAGGAATCTTCTTCTAGTTGGAAGAATCTTGATTGCACTTTATATCTTTTCTGCATTTGTTTAATCAACAGTTTGAAAAACGTTTTTCATCAATTTTCATCAAATCAACAATTTGTGGCAAAGCATCATTACATATATATTTTTTCATATATATTTAAAATATCAATTTTTTCAATAACCAATTTCTTTTTTATTATTTATTCAGTCCCGGCGTCTCTTCTCTCTTCCCTGAATACTTTGGAAATCCATTTGATGGAATAATAGTTTATCTCTTTCAACAAACTACCTTGCACATGCCGAAAGAAGTTAGCTGAACAAGACAGACGAAAAGAAAAATTCTTTTTATCATGGGGGAAGAGCCTTTAATGAAGACAAATGTCAGATACGCAAAGAGAAGGAATTTTTTAGTTTTATTTGCTCATTAGCAACATTTTCCTTGATTGAAGAACCACTTTTACTTTGACTGACCCCTTGAATGACACTCATTATGATTGATTTGTGTATGAGGGAAAGAAGGCCATTGTAGCAAAAAGGTTTCAAGTTTCTCGCAAAGCGGGTTTTTTAGAAGCTACACTTCCTGAAAGCTTTCTGTTTATTTGTTTTTAATGAAAACAAAATCAACATTTCAAGACCGAATTTTAGCTATATTTAACAGCAAATGTAATTTATTGCCAATCTTCTAATATATTTTCCCAAAAAGTTGGTACTTCTTTACATTTCACTTTTCTAAAAGAACATTTTCCATACGTGATCGATTACATGCTTATCCAATAATTAATTTTAGCATCGTATCAAGGTCTTCTTAATGATGTTCAGGCTTTGACTTGATGATTGCCAAGAAATCAAACAGTCTAGCAATACGATTGCAAGCTATCACAAAGGTCATCCGTGTTATCTAATTGTTTCCATCTTCTGCGCAATAGGTGAGAGAATTTTGTGCCAATCTTTTAATACTTGTCTAGATTTAAAAGCATTTTAAATAAGACTTTCTTTAATTAAACAGTTACTCTTTGTTCAGTTTCATCATAAACGTAAAATACAATACAAGTTTATCAGTGACGTTTATCAAATAGCTAACGATTATCTGATATGGTTACGTCAAAAATGCTTTGAATTATGGAAAAAGAGTAAGAAAATCGAGAAAAAAAATTCTTATACTGAGCTTTTCTTCTTTGCAGCGTATACAATTACAATGCCATCACTCTGGACCTATATGAAAAGGTATCGTTAAAGGGAAACCGTGTTTCTTCTTTTTGTTTTTAATTTTAGATTGGCAGATTTCTTCCAAAAGTGGAAAGAAAATCGCATGTAGATTTATTTCTTTATTATTGGAAGTTCTGGAATCGAACTTTTCTTTGCAACTATTAAGTAATTTCCCAAGAGTGTTTGCAAAATGTGGCATGATTCAGGGATAGCGTTGTTATCAGTGCATGCTTTTTGTGGATATTTTTAAGCTAGTTATAGATCTCATTTTATTCAGCATGTCAAAAAATGCCTGAAAAAAGTACCAGTTCTTTAACTTGCAAAGTTAAAATGTGGCAGTGCTGAACCTAAAAGAGGTCTAGGTACCGGAACCCCAGTCCAAAAATAGCTGTTAGGCACATTTTTGAAGCTTGATATGGACTTTATCTTATCCAGCATATCGGATTGTGTACTTGTATCAAACTTCATGCTATAATCATAACATGCACAATTTTGCTGCTCTGCGTCTATACTGTCATTAAACTTCAGAAAGCAAGTTGTTTGTCAAAACGAGAAAATTGATTGCCATAAATTTTTGCTTATAGGGCAATCACTCCGCTCTTTTTTTTCCTCACTTCGAAGGTCGAATTTTTGCTGACCGATAATTTTTCATGCCTCCGCTACTTCCTTCATTTGCTGGTCGTTCCTAAGGTTTAAAATAAACAATGGCCTTTGCTGTTCTGATCTAGACTTTAAAAACTTAGATTAAGCTGGTTGCTAGGTGGTTATGCAAAGTTCCCAGTCTACATTATTTATGTGTTGAGACCCATCCTCGTTGAAAAGTTTCACAGTTGAAACATAGACATTTTATAAATTGTATATAAAGTCCTGTTTACCGAACCCAGTGACTCGAATACCTTGGTTGTTACGCCGAATTTGAAATGTCGAGAAACAAAAGTTTGACCTTTAAGACTTACTTTCTGGATCCGGATTGTTGAGAATAGTGGAGGATTTTGCACAAATCATTTCAGCGGGAAATTCGCCGGAGAAGGATATACCAGGGCACTTAAACAAGGGTGTTTCTATATTTTCCCTACAGAAGTGATGAAAATTTAAAATGCTAAACATATCCAGCAAGGAAGCAAAAATCTTAAAATTTTAGCTTAAAGAAACCATGTAATTTTTGGGTAAAACGATTAAAACAATACATGAAATACCCGAAATTTGAAAAATTACAACAAACACAAGATATAGCTCAAATTAATAGAATTAATGTATTTTTTTCGATTTTGCGAATAACTAAACCTTCTTTTTTGAGAATATGAATAGAGCGATGATTTCAAATTCAACCATCTTCCTTACTATAAAGGCACCACGAGCTTCAACATAGACAGCTTTTATTAGGTTCTCATGCTGTTTCTCCGAGATATCTGAAAAATGTTTCAGAATCTTTATTCTAAATATTCTAATGTTTCTTAATGTACTCTTCAAATTGCACTAATCTACTGTAGAAATACGTGAAAACTACAATGAAAGTTATTAAAACAGAAGCTATCACAAGGAATACGCATCTGGGTCCCTGTTGTTCGTAAATATACGACAATAGCAATGGTGTTGTAGTTGCTGAGGCACACCCAACGGCAGAAAGAGCAGCAAGATAAACACCCTAGAGAGAGAACAGAATTTGCTATCACCAATCTTGCAATATTTTCTTTAAAAATGTTTGTGCTTTGAATTTGTGCTCTTTTAAAAATGTTAAACAGTAATCTAATTTAAACGAGATCCGGTGATACAATAGATAAACAATTTAGTTTAGTTATAATAAAACATTTGTAAAATTAAATATCATCTACTTGAATGCGATGGCGTCTGCACAACATCATTATCAACTATATTAAACAAATTAAAAAAGTTATTGATTTAAAATTGTTTTATGTGATACTACTTGCTTTCGTGGACCAACAATTTTTGAATACAATCCAGTTATAACTAGATAAGGCAACATGAAGCCAGTCATGGTTATCAATTCTGCAATTACGAATTGCTCCATGTGTATTTTAGGTGTATTTTTGCACCACTGGTACTTTGCTGGGCAACCTTCTTTCAAACGAAATTGTGTCAGATTTCCGACTTTGATAAACTCTAAAATTGAGAAGACGGCATTCTGTTATATTGTTTTTTTAGGATGCTAACATTAACCTTACATTTGATACTATTGCAGGGATTTGTAAAATATTGGCGTGACAATGTATTATTAGAATAGCATATCGTATGATATCTCACCTGTTGTTTGAAGAGTTGGATATGTGTTTCCCCAGGGTAAAAAAACGATATAGCCTACCAATGCAATTGTACATCCTACCAAAAGCACTTGTCTTTCATCCATTCTAAATAAAAACAGAAGCTTGAACATATTTTTACAAAACAATGCCTACGATTCCGTAGTGAAATTAGTTTGAATTTTTAAAGCTTTTTACTCTTTTACATTACATTTTAAATTTTAATGTTGTTCTATGTGCTTTTCAGCTCGATTTTGTCCGCTGAAAGAAATGTTTGCTTTTATATCAAGCCAAGAAAATGAATGTTCATCCGTAATTTTTATAAGTCATTTATTCTCTTGATTGATTGCATGCAAGAACTTAGTTGGGAAATTTCCATTCGTAATATGTACCCATAAAGTATTTGCAATTGAAAAATTACTAAAACGCTACCGTTTGGATGTGCACTTGATAAATCCAAGCGATAAAACTGCAATCGGTCCAAGGAAAGACAACAGAATGCCAGAATAGAAAACAGCGGCACGTTTGGTCATTGCAAATTCATCTACCATGAGTGGAGCTGTCAGCCTTGCCGGAAGTGCAAATAACAAAGAATAACTTTTTCAACTTGCGTGGAAAACTTTTCAAAAATAGTAATGATAGTTTGATAACCAAGAAGTAGTTTTATCTCAATTTCGCTGAACATAATTTAGCTGACAAAATCAGAACTTAGAATAGTGACTGAATGCAAAATTATTTGAGAAGTAAAAACTTTTGAAATAATTAAAACAGCTAATTTGCCAACTGTTACAGCGCCATTAAAGTACGCATTGTTTCACTTTTTTAATATGGTTATATTCTGAAAAGTAAAGGAATTGATAAGTATTTCTTACGTTTCAATTGCTGCAAAAACTACACAGATAACAAAATAGGAAATTGACATCAGATGCAATGCAAAGTTGTCCGGTTTTGGTAAATCCTCTAAAACGACACAAAAGAATTAATTAATTTTTCTAATTTTTCAATACCAAAAACAATTGATGTGATGTAGAAAAATTAATATTTATATCTAGTAAACGTTTCTATCAGCTTCAGCAAAAGCCACGTTAAAATGTGTAGTCTTTAAAGACTAACTTTAATATAATTTCATAGAACTAAAAACTTTTGTGAAAGTAAAGCCACACAAATACATTTGTATTTCAATCACCTGGTTTATTTTCTTTGCCACTGTTTAAATTGTATTCCTGGAACCAGATCAGTACTGAAGTGAAACTAATAAACTGCATAACCATTCCGAGCCATCCAGGAGCATTGAAGGCGTCAATGATGATAAACGAATTACGATATTCATTTTTAAAAACGATAGCCAGAAAAGCTGTAAGACCTGAAATAGAAACATTATCACGATTGGTTTTACTGAGCTTAAAAAAGAAAGATTATCACATTGTTTCGAAGTTTCTACTTGCTTTTATATGAATATTTTTTACCATTTTTGCTTGTTCAACTATACGTTCGAAGCATAATTTGGTTGGATAATAACACTCAAGCAAAGTAAGGAACATAAACTGAATCAGAAAGTTAGTCAGCTCGATCATATAGAAAACGTTTCTAAGATGTATAAGTCAGTCACATTTTCCAACAAAAGTCCTTTATAAATACTCATGTTTACGGCGAGAACAAAAAGTGCATAACAAAGCCATCTGAGATAATAATTAACAAATTTGCATTTGTCAATCAAGCAAACTTTGGAGTCGCCATTAATGTTGTACTTTATTTCATAAAATTATAAAGGGAAATCACAGCACCGCTTCTTGTTAGTACCCCCTTCTTAAAAATTGTTCGATTGTTCTCTACATTCTGAAAAATATTAACCATAACATTTGTGAACCCGGAAATAGAACTAGAATTGGGCGGCGGCATACTTGTGGCCTTGCAGAAGCCTGGAAAAACCAAAGGGCCTGTTACTAACCTACAACCAGTCATATTACTCCCGATATTGGTAGAGATCTTGTCAAATATTGTTCTACATCGCATTCAAGCTAAGGTAGAACAGTTCTTGTCAGATTCACAAGCAGCATATTGACCGAGTCGCAGTACTTCAGATATAGTGTTGGCATACAAATGGATTATTGCATAGACACAACAATAAACAACGCATTGATTCTTCAACACATTGGAAATATTGCATTGATTATATGTGTAATACACTGTGGAACCAATAACATAGGCAAAGATTCACCATCAAATATTGCAAAAGGAATCATCACCATTGATGAAGCTGTGTACAAAGCCAAGCTCAATGCTAAGATCCTTATCACCGGCCTACTCCCTCGCGAACAAAAACAAGGTTTCATGAGAAAAAGCACCTGCACTGTCAATGATGAGCTAAAGTATCTATGCAGAAAGTCCACTCAAAAGAACTTCATCTTCCTAGAACCTGATGACACTTGGACTATGCCAAATGGAGACCTTGATCAAAATCTCTATTTCCGAGACAACCTGCATTTAGTTGAGGGTGGAAATGAGAAGCTGGCAAGGTCTGTCTATCTTTCTATTTCTAGGCTGAAAGAAAGGGACAAGCAAGCACTAAAGTATACACTCAATCATTCTCATATTGACAGACAGCCTAAATCGCCAGCACTAAAACAATCACATAAACCTCTCCACACGCAAGCAGAACCACAAAAACATACCCATCTAAAGACCCCTCCTTCTACACAAACACAACCACAAAACCTTGTTTACACACAACCAGAAAATGACAAACAAGCACTATAAATAAAGAAACCTATAATACAGTCACAAAAACATCAACACAAACAACCCCCAAAACATACACATTTACAATGACAAACCCACACACCAATAAATGCAGGAAACAGTGGGTGGGAAGAATGGTAACTAATCATAATACTTACAACCTGGCAGAGATAGTAAATAGCTCTGGCCAACCTTTTAGACAAGTAACTACTGTTATCTCCAGTTATCAAATCCAAAACAAAACATCTTCTGGAAAGATTATTCCTTATTTGAAGAAATATTCTCAAATAATAATGCCAATTATGTGGTTTTTGCTTCGGATACTTGGCCATTGGTTCTGTAGAGGTTCTTTGAATAGATATAGTCTAAAGAGAAATCTTAAACACCTCTTTAAGAAAAAAAGAGTGACAGGTCGGTTTCCTAAGCAGAGACAATTATGTTGGTCAAGTCTGATGTTAACTTTCCTAATAGTTTTTACACACGAAGAGTAAGATAAAAAAAACCCATATCATTTCATGAAGAATCAACAAAACCATGATTTATTTACAAAAGAAACCTTATCCTTCATTAGCAATATCAGATCTGACTACATGCAAGAGCAATTATCTCTTCGCGCACTTTCCGATTTAAAATTCGAAAATAACAAATCTTTTATTAGTCTCCTTATGCTGCTCGCGGGTGACATTCATTTTCACCCAGGACCTTCTAATCTCTGCCAAACCTGTAACAAAACGGTCAGAAAAGGGTTCTATTGCGTACAGTGTGGTCTCTGGGTTCACAAAAGGTGTGGTAAAATATCTAATGCAGAGTTTGCAATTCTCTCCTCACCGTCGAAAAAAATCTGGATATACTTGTTTGTCTTGCAAAAACACCAACAAGGTTGACCTTTGGCAAGAGTTACCTTTTGCTGCTCACCCCTTTCCCGTGCTTTTAGAGCAACAAACAAAAATACCCATGCCCACGGAAGTGAATCAATTTGCCCAAGGTTCAACAGAAGATTATATGTGGAATCCATTCAGAAGAGGAGGCTACACTTCCTTCACCTCAATATAAATAGTTTATTGCCAAAAATCGATGAATTGCGTCTCATTGCTAAAAATTCAAATGCTGCTGTCATTGGAACTACAGAATCAAAACTTGATGGCACAATATCTGACAGCGAAGTTAAAATTGACGGATATGAACTGAAAAGATCTGACAGAAAAAGACAAGGTGGGGGTGTTGCTTGTTATATCAGAAAAGATCTGTCTTTCAATTTAAGAGAACATTTTTCAGCAGACCTAGAAAATATATTTCTCGACATATTTTTGTCAAATCCAAACCAATACTAGTTGGCATCCTTACAGACCGCCCAATTCAAGTGGTTTTCTTTAAAAACTAAATGTAGCCGTTTCAAAAACAGAAAATTTTGATAACCAAGAGGTTTTTGTCTTGGGGGACTTGAATATTGACTTGATGGACAGTAAAATGAGCAACTCTAATGGGATCAAGCGCTACAGGGAATTCTGCTCCCTTCACGGACTTAAACAACTAATCCAAGAATCAACACGCATATCTGAAAAATCTAAAACTCTATTAGATCATATAATTTCTAATTCAGCTCAAAAAGTTTCTCAGCATGGTGTTCTTAACCTAGGCATATTTGATCACCAAATGATCTACTGTACAAGGAAAAGTACTAGAGCCAAAAATTCTTGAACATAAATACATCAAAGTCCGTTCAATGAAAAATGACAGCAAAGAGCGTTTTCTAAAAAAACTATAATTACTTGAGTTCGCAAATTACTTTGAGCTCATTGATATCAATGCTGCCTGTTCTCACTTGTTACAACTGATAACTTCTGTCATCGATGAGATAGCTCCATTAAAAGAGATTCGCGTGAGAAGCAACACTCAGGAATGGATGAACGAGGAAGTTCTTGAAGGGATCAGAATTCGAGACAAGCTGCTTTACAAATTTAACAGGACAAAATCCTATACAGACCATGCTAATTTCAGAAAAGCCCGAAATAACATCTTGTCTCTTATAAAAAAGAAAAAGGGAAATTGTGTTGTTAGCAAACTAAATGAAAATATTGGCAAGCCAAAAGAATTATAGAAAAGCCTGAAATCACTTGGTCTACCTTCCAAACAAGATAAGCCCTCAAAGATTTGCCTAAAAATGGACGGGAAACACTCTTTTAATGATAAAATCAACTCTAATATTTTTATGAATTTCTTCTCCAATTGAGCTACAGAGCTTGTAAAAAAGCTACCTAACCCACCTCGTAGATTTGGTATAGAAAGTGTTATAAAATACTACAAAAAGCTGAATCTTGAAAATGAAAGATTCAAACTTCACCACACCATCCATGATAACGTCTTTGAACTCCTGGAGGGAATAAATCCGTCAAAAGCAGCCGGACCCGATAATCTTGCAGGGAAATTCCTCAAGGAGGGTGCATCAATACTAGCAACGCCAATTACCGAGCTATGCAATCTTTCAATTTCCCTAGCATGTTTTCCCGACGATTTCAAGCAAGCGAAATTGAAACCTCTCTTTAAAAAGGGGAACAAAGATGAACCAAAAAATTATCTACCAATCTCAATTCTGCCGCAAAATTCTAAAGTAATTGAAAAAATTTTCCATGAGCAGATACAAAAATATCTAGATAAAAACAAAATTGTCTATCGTTACCAATCCGGCTTTCGTCCTTACCATTCAACCAACACATGTTTATCATATCTAAGCGACAAAATAGTTCAGAGTTTTGAAAATAATATGTTTACGGGCATGATATTAATAGATCGAAAAAAGCATTTGACACAATCGACCACGAAATTTTCCTCAAAAAAATGAAGCACCTTGGCTTTGCTGACTCAGTCATACTTTGGCTTCGATCATATCTAACAAACCGAACTTTCTTTGTAAACATAGAAAAAGATTCCTCATCACCTGGTGAATTATCGTGTGGCTTTCCACAAGGCTCTATTCGTGGTCCGCTAATCTTCCTTTTATTTGTAAATGACATGCCACAGGCAGTCGACTGTGATTTACTTCTGTATGTAGATGACTCCTGTCTTGTTTTTGGAGACAATA